ACAAGGCCTATGATGGTGAGTGGAGATGTGCACATAGGGGGTCTGTGTTGCAGTAGAGAGAGGCCAGGCTCTAGCATCAGAGAGAACTGGGTTTGAATTCAGGGTCCAGGACTCCAAGGCTGTGTGGTCTTCAGGAAGAATCTTAATCTCTGGAAGAATCCATTTCCCTTTCCCATACAATTCGACAGTAATTTCCACATCAGGTGGCCATGAGGGTCAGTGATCATACAGCAGGTGCTCAAGTCTTGTTTTGTTTCCAGGTCCACAACTGGAGGGTTTCTGAGCACGGATACAACTGTCACAGCCTGGGAGACACAATTCACACCAACAAATGGAAGTGCCTGGGCCTCTGAAGCAGTGGAGATGAAGACCCTAATCCTGGAATCGCTGACACTCATCATTGCCCTGCCCGGGCTGGCGGGAAACGCGGTGGTGCTCTGGCTGCTGGGCGTCCGCATAGGGAGGACCACCTTCTCCGTCTACATGTTCAACCTGGCCGGGGCCGACTTCCTCTTCCTCTGCTGCCAGATTTTATTTTCCCTGTGTAAACTTCACGTCTTCCCTTCTGACTGCTTTAATATACGCGTGTTTTGCATCCCGGTGTTATTCCTTTTCTACATCACAGGCCTGAGCATTCTCAGCGCCATTAGCACAGAGCGCTGCCTGTCTGTCCTGTGGCCCATCTGGTATCGCTGCCGCCGCCCCAGACACACGTCAGCCATCATGTGTGCCCTGCTCTGGGCCCTGTCCCTGCTGCTGAGCATCCTGGAAGGGAACTACTGTGGCTTCCTCACTCAGGATCTACATCTTGTTTGGTGTCCAGTGTTGGATTTCATCACTGCCGCCTGGCTGATTTTGTTATTTGTGCTTACCTCTGGGTCCAGCCTGGCCCTGATGACCAGACTGCTGTGTGGCTCCCAGCGGGTACCGCTGACCAGGCTCTGTGTGACCCTCATGCTCACAGTGCTGGTCTTCCTACTCTGCGGCCTACCCTTGGGCATCTACTGGTTCCTCTTATTCTGGTCAGAAATTCATTTAAATGCCTTCTCTCATATTTCCCAGGTTGCCAATACCCTGTCCTGTATCAACAGCTCTGCCAACCCCGTCATTTACTTCTTTGTTGGCTCCTTTAGGCAGCGATGGCAGAAGCGGCGACAGATCCTGAGGCTGCTTCTCCAGAGGGCTCTGCAGGACACTCCTGAGGGAGAAAGCCTTCCTCCCGAAACCCTGGAGATGTCGTGAGCAGTCTGGGCCAGTGACACCGGCCTCTGCCCTGGTGGGTCAGAAGTGACTCAGAGACTCAATGCTGCCCCGTCAGGCTTGGAACTTATCTAGTCTTCTCCCAGCCCCGGCCTCAGAATGCTTCAGTGATTCCCCAGTGTCTTCAAATTGGTTGTTTTTAATCTGGCCTTTGTAGTTTCTCTCAGAGAAAGCATTAGTTCAAAAGTTATTGCTCTCCGTCGTTCCTGATATTACCAATAAATTTCTCAGGTAATCTTCCTTTGAATTTCTTTATTGAATGTATTGAGTGCTCTTTCTCTACAAGTGGTTCAGGAAAGTCTTCTTGAAATCTTGAAATCCAGGAAACTCCACAAATACCAAACATGATGGAAAAGAAAGCCACTGGACACATGATGGTGAAAATACACCACACCAGAGAAAAAGGTAAGCTCTTAGAAAGAAAACACACAAATCACTGCAAGGGAAAGGAAACTTGACAGATGACCAATCTTTTAAAAATGAGGGTGAAACTATGACTTTTTCAGACAGAGAAACACTGGGGCACTTATCACCCACACACTCTCACAAATGGAATCCTAAAGAATGTGTTTTCAGGAATGGAACACATGAGATGGGAAATGGAAAGGCAAGCAAAAACATTGGTGATTATGGGGATACAACTGAACAAATACTATTGAAAACACTAACTTTAATTTTGAAGGAAAGAGAATAAAAGTTACGTCCTGGAGCACAGTAGCTTGGGAGGACAGAAACAGAGGCTGAAGTTTCCTAAGGTCTTGGTGCTATTCATGAGGAGGGCAGACTTCTGGAGACAGCTGTTGGGTTTGTCCAATGCACCAAACAGAGGCAGAGGAGGGAAAGGGGTGACATATAATTCGTAGGTTAACAGGCTGTAAGAGACTGAATTCCATATGAATTTATGTTTGATTCCATGAGATCATCTTTCTACCTGTTTGTATATTAACACAACATTATTGTTTACACTGATGTTTAAGAATAGCTCCTAATATCTGTTAGGGTTGATCAGTCCTCCTTTATCCCCATTTTCTCCAGAAATGGTGAGGTTTAATACAGTGTCATCATCTCTCTTTCTCTCTCTCTCTCTCTCTCTCTCTCTCTCTCTCTCTATATATATATATATATATATATATAT